GGGAGCGTTGAAACAAATATTACATTGTGTTTGAATGTTATTAATCCATTAAGTTTTTCACGATCATTATGTTAGTAATAAACGTCATTTTTTAATTATTAATTCGCATTTAACTATTAATAGGAGCATGCGAAAGTGTTATAAACACAATACTAACATGATGGAATGATTAAATTAAAATTTAAATTGGCAAGACCTATTTTAAATATTTACTTTATACCGATCCGTTTATTTGATTCAAATAAATAGTCAAATAATTGCTATATATCAAATAAATTGGTATTTTCTTTAAAAAATTTTATTAGTGATGTGCAATAGGTAATAATATTGATGGTTTTTCGTTACTTTTAACTTTTCGTTAAATTTCTTACGCAAATTACTTAGCTACTTCATAGCAATTTAGTTTTATCAAAATAAATTCTGTTTTTGCCCACTTAAATACATCATTGCAATTTTCATAGAGTGTAGTAAGGACTATATTTAAATATGATGAAAGCATTAGTTTTCAAGGAAAGGCCCGAATTTTTTACCACAATTACTCATCTAAATTATGGCAAATCAGTAGTTAAGTGAGATACGCAGGAAGAAACAAGGCTACAATTTACACTGCATTGCTATAAAAATTTATGTAAATTATAATATAATACTGTGTACCTATAATCATGGATCTACCTATTTAGGCGATTAATTTTTATATTCCACAACTAACGATAAATATTGCTCACTTATTCAAATATTCCCTTGCATCGGTTATTTTAAAATTTTTGTCAGCTTTTATTTTTAGTCTAACGAGAGTTTAATGCTAAATTAAATTTCATGATTAAACATGCGTTCATTATTTAAAAAATCGGAATTAGCAGAGCCAATTAAATTCCCTATCGTATAATCACAAAATCTATGCTATTAGAATTTTACGAAATTAAATTGACGCATATAGAATGTAATAAAATTACATGGATTGAATTGATTTATGTAGTTCATATAAATTTCATTAGAGAATGACCCATTTTTTTAAATATTCCCTGGCGGTTGCATCTGTTAATGAAACTGATTATTTCTACCAATTGAGAATTATTCGCCTCGTTATTCACTTAACAGTTGGCTTCAAGGTTGTGAAATTCGATACGAAAGTTAATTTTCTCAATACTTAATTTTCTGATAGAGTATGTAGCAAACTATATTAAACTGATTGGTATGGAATTATTTATTGGGCAATTTTAAAGCTAGCCAGGTGTAAACAACTTGTTACTTCTTGTTATAATTAATGGATGAATTTAAGTTAATCGTACGACCAAACAAATACAATGTTAATTACATTCTCGTTGAAATTTGCATAGGTATTTAAAAATGTAGGATTGGCGAATTGTTGGTAAATTTAAAAATAATATCTGCAATAATTCATTTGGATTAAACAATATACCTACGCTTTACACATTTCTCATTAAAATAAGCAAATTTCTAGTTATTAAAAAAATTTCATAATTTATTGTCTAACAGAATAAAATACATTAGATATCTATATATAAGGTAAACCGATAAATGTTTTTACTGAGTATAAGCATACAAAAGCTGCGCCTGAGTGTTTACACATTTTTTATTACAAAACAAACTTAAATGCATGTAATTTGAGTTGAAATTATATCTGGCGAGTTGCTATTTTATAAATAATTATTTGCGAACAAAGTGCATTTTTATCACGTAATACTCGTGGTTCTCTTAGAATTTTAAACAATCTCGCCTTACCTGTTTCGTTTGAAGTCAATTAACTCGGATAATTGCAAATGTTGCCATGTTTTCCGTATTTCATGCGGATCTCAACTTAAACATATCTGATAAAAGTGTGGAATGGTATTAAATTTTCGGTTTAATTATCATCAGATATTTTTATTCTCAAATTTTTAACACATGGTATGTTAACCAGATGTTTTTTGGGCATATTAAATGATGCACAAACATATATTCAGCTATTTAAAATAGTGCACTTGTGTGTATGTTAAACCGAGTGGCATAATCAAATATCCCGTTGGGATACCCAGAAAAAAATGATCAGTTTTTTGTAAAAAGACATAAATTATTGACCACATTCCTTGTTAAATTGCAATGGTTACATTTTCTTCTCATTACAAGATATGTTTCGGTTTTGAAGTTTTAACTTCTATTTTTATTCATAGTGTATTCATTTGTAATCTTTTCTATACCATAGCAGTTTTTCAATTCCTACTATTCACACTCTCCCTATATTTATCTATTTACATATATATCCTGTTCAAATTTTCAATCGCTAATAATTTTGGTTCATCCACTCGAGTTCAAATACCTAACTTGTAATGGATTACACTCGAACTTAATACAGCTTTTTTTAAAAATTATTTCATTAAAGTTAATTAAATAATTTCAATTTGATCTGGGAGAAAAAATGTCTCTTGTATAAGATATTTAGCATTTATATTTACAAATTACAATTTACAATAACAAATTAGGTAGAGGTGCATGCGTGTAATCCTGATTCCTTCAGTTCGAATATCGTCGAAGCCGATATTCGATATATTATTTTTAAATAATTTTTATTGATTAAATTTATTGTTGACCTAGGTAGGAATTGACTTTAAAAAAAACATTTGTTTATATAACTTGTTTCGTTTCATAATATGCCCTAAAAGAAAAAAAATCCAAAAGGTGCCTTAAAGGATCCAAATCCGAGGAGGCCACTTTACTATTAATTAGGGTGTTTTTAATTAATTACAGTAACCAATTAAAGTAACTAAAGCCGAGGAACTTATCAATCGAAATTTGAATTCGAACTTTTGAAAATTCCTATTGCGATACATTTTGAATTTGTATAGGTTTTTATTTATTTTTGTTTTTTAAAAATTATATATTATTTATAAGTTTAATTGAGGATATTTGTAAGAAGCCATACTAAAATCAATTCAAATTAGATTATCACGAGCCTTCTCTTAGAAAGAACTTATTTTCTCAAAATAGTCCATTTCTTAGCATAAGAAAATATTTGCAGAAAACTTTGTATTATAAATAAACAAGCCTTATACATGTCATGAGAACTAAAACTAATCATAACAGTGGTTTAAATATAATATTAAATAAAAAAAATTATAATAAATTGTACATTAACCGTCCTATTTTAATCCATATTTGACCCCTCAAAAATGCTCAATTATAAAAATAACCGAAAAATTTGTTTTTCCAGCATATTCTTAGACTAGGTGTCATAAAGCATGTCATTGGTAGAGCTTTTACAAACGAAGTTTATTATTTTAGGTTTGTATTTTCGCTGCTCTAACGGAATATTTTAATTGTTTGTTTTGATTACCACTCCTCATCGTGCACCATTCCAATCTGCCAAAATAATTACCATCTTATTTTTCACCAAACAAAACATACCTTGTCCTAATGGAAGGCTCTGAACGGCATTTTAAGTGTTCCACAAAGTGTCATCCGCTTTAATTTTTTTAACCAGGAACAATTTTCTCATTATGACTTGTAATAAGGAAGGCTAACCAACCTGTCATAAATCAAATTAAAACGGATAAGCTGTGGCAACGTTGCATGCACCTTCCGGTGTCGGATTTTCTTTCTCTTGCCAGACGGTTCAACAACGATATCACAACGTTGCCAAGCGCTCCATAATATCGCAGTTATGCGAACTTTCGCCGGTTTTCTTCTTTGCCTGATGGAGATAGAATTTGGAGCAATTCGAGATCTAATGGATCTATTTCAGAAAAGTTTGAGGGTTGGATTTGATCTATAATTCACGACATTATTTAAATAAATAATACTTGCTGAATATGAACATTGGAATACTACTCTATAGAAATATTAAGAACCATAATAACTTAGTACCTAACCCATCATTTCTCTCACATTAAATGTCAATGTTATTGCGCCTAAGCCAATATGCTCAGCTCTTCTGCAACCTTGTTTTGAATTTCGCCACCCCTTTAATTGTTCTTCGTTTTGCTTGCATTGCATTGTACTTTTCGTTTTTGCTGTATGTGCTCGCGTTTCAAACGAATAGGCATGTTAAAACAGGTTTGGCAGGTCTGAGGTCATAAGAGCTAACTCTGTTGACATATTTGTTTGTCCATACAATATCTCTTCTTGCGCGTGGACTTTTTGTTTTCGCTTCTTTTGCTAAGTAAACGAAGGTTGGAGTAGTTTATTTTGTTGGCGTGTTAATCCATCATTTTATGTTAAAGTTTTTGAAATTTTGGTGCGCTAGATTTCTCCAATTAGTGTAGCTATTTATTTTTTATTTTGCCATCTATAGTTTCGAGTCTATAGACTATTATAGAAATTTGTGAATGAACTAATCTATTAATAGGATTTGTTTAAAGAGAATTAAATTTATTTTCCGCTGAATATTTTGATAAAATGCTTCTACTTTGGAATTGATTGAGTTGTACGTTTATGACACTATAGTTTGATGTGCAAACAAAATTGAATTAGAAAATTCAATTTATAATGATTCCTAATTCGTGCACCAATTTAGTTCCGTAGGGAGAGATTTAAAGATTAAAATAGAAAAATCCGATGTTGAGAATTGGCGGCCAAAAAAAAATTCCCCAAACGCAAGAAAGCGCGGCAACGCCGGTTTCGCCCGCTTCACAATTTACAATCGTCCCTACTAGTCGCGTATCCCCTTCGCTTCTCTGTCCTGTCCTATCATGGCAGAAACAACACCACAGACGTACAAGACCACAGAATGCATTTTCGATTACGAGTGCTAAGACCTTGGCCGTAGTGATTTTCAATTTCAGTTCTATTCCCACTCTTTACTATTCTCAAATAAGCGCGTTGACTACCTTCTATTTTGGTTTGTATTTTTAGAACGACTCACGTGTATTGCCGGTTCATAGTGTTTTATTTACGTTTCGCTTCCGTTATCCAAGACGTTCTTTTTTTTCTTCTTTGTTACGAACTTGTGTTGATAACTCGATGTGACAGCGAATATTTGTGAAAAACTGAAAAAAAATATAGTGATGTTCCAGTGCATTATCCAGCAGAGAAATGGTTGGATTCACACCTACAACACCGAAAATAAAGACGTGTTCCCAGGTATATTCTAATTTAGGGATGTTTTTTTTGTGTAACAAGGGCAATACGTGTCGGTATATCCGTTTTTGACGCCGAGCCAAGTTTTAAGTTAAAAATGTTTTTCGTTTAAATGCAATAATTATATTGGAAATGGTTTTGCGACAAAAAGATAATTACATCCTCATTATGCGAAATGAAAAATAGTGTAACGCATGTCCTAGATATAAGTTAATTATTTTGTTTAAACTTTTAACGTCTACCTATTCATTGAAGTTTTCAACAAATCTATATTGGCAATGTTTTCGTAAAGCTAGAACGAAAATAGTTACATATGTGTTTGTTTTGGAGCCATTTAATGCAATATATTTGTACTGTACATGTAAGGAAACGTTTAAATATAGAGATAGTACGGTTTTGATACACCCATTGCATCCATCAGTATCTGCATATTTTGGAACACGTAAAAACGCTTCGTATTTACATATTTTTCACCGAGAATTTAAACTGGTTCCCACTGGCATATCTCATTGATAGCAAATTTCACCTGTCATATAAAAAAGATTAACGTGTAGGTGATTGGAGCGAAAGAAAATAGCAGTTGTTGACTTCCGAGGCCGTATCGGAAAATTTGACCAAATATGCCGATTTATGAATAATTAAGTAACCGGCGCTCTCTATCCAATTAACATTGAAATTAAGTAGTCCATAAATAGATACACCTACATGTTTATTGAGCAAATTATTCAAATATGGGAAGCACCAAAAACCACATCCACGTGTGTTTCATTTTTAGCGTTCGGCTGTTTTGCAACTAGCAATTTGTGCCTTAAAATCGACGCGTTTCGTCGAAACCAAAAAAAAAAGCACAGTTCTTCTCATTTAATATGTACACATTGATGAAACGACGAAGCTATTGTGTACTTCAACAGACTATTTAATTGATTCGAATGATGGTAGGCATTGTATTCAAAAACCATCACGATCCCAAATAAAATAAAAATCGGCCTGTTCCTATAAAAACAAGTCGATGGAGTATTTTTTAATTCACCGTATTGGAACGTACCCAGAAAATACGCCAGAATAGAATATCCATTCATCGAATCATCCTTCATGTTATTGTTGGATATTCAGTTGTTGGATAAACAACAAAATTTCTATCAAGGAGGAAGAATTAAATCTATGCAATTTCTGAAAAATTTAAATGTTCCACTGGTTGAAAAATGGTTAAAGAAAGTTCACAATATATTCGCCATTCCCTATAACCCAAGGATAGAACATAAGGCAATGAAAATGTTTGTAAAATAACAGGAACTACTGGAACAATAAGAAACGATAACGTGTTTTACTGAACAGTTACTAACACATAGGCAAGGCATTATTGGATGCAGCGATCTATGAAATTTATTTTGCGATTAATTTCTCAGTTAATCTTTGATCTTCAAACATACCAGCTTTGACGCATAAAATCGAATCACCAAACGGATTATTGAATATAATATTCCCGCTTTAATGAGTTATTTTCCGTGTTATATGCAAAATGTGTGTGCATAAATCACTAAAGAGGAGGTTTAATATTCAGAACGTTGCGATAAAACAGCTTATCGAAATGAGTGTGTACTCAACGGCCAGTATTAATACTTTCCACATAAGAGCTAAGTTCCCGGTATTTTTTGCTATTTTTAAAGTTAAATGACACGTATCGCATCAATTATTCAAATCGCAGTACAATAACCGGAAACAGCGCACTTGGTAGATAACCAATGCATTTGCGACTGCAAATGTGCCCTTTTTTTTATATAAAACAATTACTTTTAATGGCCGGTCAATTTTGAAATCCACGGGTCTCGTCCATTATTATTCGTTTTATAATTAGAAATTATTCTCTGGTCGATTACTGTGCTGAAATTAAATTGAAGCAATTACAATAATACGAATTAAATTTAGTGTTCCCAATACAACATGGTCATTTAGTAATTATTTTGATTATGAACTGTCCGAACCGACGGGTTTTAATTTAATTAATGATTGTTGCAAAAGACAAATTAATTGCGCACGCGTATTACTTTGCGAAAGGTCGCCCAAATAGGCGTTATTGGGTCAAAACGAGATAATATCCCTTTTCAGAAACTCGAATTTTGTTGATGTTGCACCTGGCATGAGCTAACAATTCACAATAACGAGCGCACACAATGGATTCTAATAAAAAAGGCTCCATACCTGTCTATCTAGTTAAAAAGTTAAATAGTCGAAAAGGTCAGTTCCTCGAGGAGGTTTATTTAACGGGTCTACGCGTTCTTTTAAATTTAAATTCTATGCTGGAAGTACGAGATTTTGTGTATGTAATATCCAATTTAAAATCCATTAATACAGTTTCCATTATAATCTCCGGACAAACTTTCTTTATCCTCTCAGTATTAGCTTTTTTACTATCTTCCTGCGAACGTAATTTTTGCATTAATCAGTTTCAACGAGTTACTTCACCCGAAGCTAACGCGTATTTCGAATCATCCATTTTAATTTAAATTATTCGAATTAGAAACAAGTTTCGAAATAAAGCCTTTTAATAGGAGCTGAAGTTAAATCGATATCCGCGTCTGCCTGAATTTTATTTGCTTAATTACGCGAACTCGGCCGTATTTTTTTAATTTTAAGCTCAACTGATTAGTATTAATTGAAATCGCGGAAAGTTCAAAATGCTAAAGGTATTTTCCGGCCGGTTTAAATGCCTCTAATTAAAATTTTCGAAGGCGCGGCTGGGGTTTAGAAAACACGGGCTTTCCGTTTGAAAATTTGCCTTTCAGATGATTCTTAATTCTTGTTTGTCGATATCTTGTTTATTTCCACCACGTAATTCGGAATATTTTTACTGATGCCACAAGTTAGAAGCATCTGCTCGTTGTCAAAAATAAAAATCTGGCGTTTACAACTCAACTGAATCACATAAAAAACGGGAATGTGTTTGGTAAAGTTCAAAAACAAGAAGTTGGCGAAAGTAAACACCATACCAAACAGTTTACTATTTTCCCGATCTATTTTTAGCGAGGGCTTTCCTCGTTTCCACGTTAAGTGGAAAAAAATTAAACGAGCCACTATTTTTTTAATGGGAAATCACGATATTGAATGTATCATGACGAATTCCCGTGTTTGGAATTACACTACGCATTCTAATTTTATTTTTTCTTTATTAATTATGTGTTATCTAACTCAACTTCCTAACTTTGTTTAGTTTGAGGAAGTCAGACCAGTTAATAGCAGAAGTGCCTATTAAAATACATTAGAGATATAAAGTGGTCCTAGACATGTTATCGCTTCAATAGAGTGTACTCGTATATACCTCAACATTTTTTTACTATCAGTACGCGGTTTTACGTACCTAATGTTTCTTTAGGAAGTCCCAGTGTCAATATTTAAACATATTTCAAAGATTACGTTCAAAAAGCTCGGCGGTTTAGTTAGTGAAACAATATTTACATAGATAATCTGATTATATTTCATTCTTATCATGTATCAATAAAATCGCAGTTTTAGCGGTTTTCGATAATTCTAATCGCATTTTATTTTGCCTGATTCTAACTTTTGGCAAAATTTATCCCATTTTATTCATAATAAACCTAGCTTTTGATAAACGGCAAACTAATTATTGCTTTTACCGCTTTCCGGATTAATTTTCCTGGCTTCTAAACGCATCTACCGATTGAATGATGTTGAATATTCGTGACGGGTAAACAGTTCAGAATCCAGGAAACTTCTAACGGCTTTCGAAGAGAAATTGATATTCGGGAGTAATTTGACTAGCATGTTAATTAAAGCAAGTTTTAATTAATCTGACTTACAGCATGTAACCTAATGATAAAGTTCATTTTTTTGCTCCAGTGTAGCTCGTATTAACGAATAGTTAGTTGTTGAAAAGTGTGTAAACTAACGTGTGCAAATTCTGTTATCCAACTCTCAACAGTTCGTTCTACTTTGTAACTTTTGAACATTTTTAGAGCTTCTCTATTAACTTAACTTTGAGTTGTATTTTTGGTGTCGATCTCTGCATTTCTTTTCATCGTTTAACATTTTGATTATTAGTAAGGCTTCGTTCAATTCACGTTGATTGCCAGGGTCGGTTTTCGCGCAAAAAAGTAGGCGTGTAATAGGCAATTCCATCGGCAATAGAATTCTTGAGAGAAATCGTGAATTATTAGATAACTTGGCACTGCGCACCCTCTACAACTGGTAATATCCAGCGTGCGTATCGTAAATTTCGTGAGCATTTACTACACAGTACATTTTCAAATATCTTGCGTGATCAAAACCGGTTACAGATGAAATATTAGACCGATAAAACGAAATAAACAACTGCTAATCATGGAATAAAAGAACATCAGCGATGGATGATCCCAACTTGCTTTCAATTGTAATTAGTTAAAGTAGAAAGATTCACACTTTCGAGCGTGATATGCTATGTAGTTAATGCAAAAGTATGAACATTAATAATCCTTAACAAATGCATTAGGTAAAACAATTAAGTTTGCCTACCCATTAACCTACTCTGTATGGTACTTACTCACTTAGGCACTTTACATGACAACTAGTTTGCTCAAAAACCCACTACATAACCTAATTCTACTTTTGATTGTGTATACATTGTGACTAGATTTTGAAATTTGTAAGTTAAAAAAACGCTCAAAACCTCTAATTCTGGTTCGTGTAATTTTATGAATTTGGTCATTAAACTCGATGTTTTCACGCATCGTTGGCACAACTTTCTCTCTGGTAAAAAAATGTATCCGCAACCGTATAATCAATTTTGCTATACTCTTAGGTAATTTGATTCGCACTTAACGCGGAATGATGAATATTTTTATAGGACTGGGAATAACATTTATCCGTGGATGCAATTTATCCGTATAGGATAAATTTTATCCCAACATGTCGAGGTCTCGCATTTTCATCTTCGAGTAGGTAGTTGAATTTTTGCTTACATGTTATGTTGGGGACAAATTCCTCTATCCCGAGAGGAAAATACCGGATATTAAAGTCAAATTTATACGCCAACGGAATTGCTTCGTGTCGAATGCAGCGTTTTCAAACGTAAAATACTTTGAAATTTTTATCGGAATTCCTAAATGTTAATCATTTCGACATTTTAATGACTAATATTCCTATTAAAACTAGATTAAAAAATATAAAATAGAATATTTGAGATAGCAACCGTATTACCAGCGCGGCTGCGAGCATCTTTCGGCGTTTTTCGAATAGTCCGCTCGCGAAAGCTGCGAAATTTCATTTCATTCATCCCAACTATTTTCGAAATATGTGGAAAGAGAAGTGCCGGCCCAACAAGCGGCATCCGCGCGGGTATTTCATGCACCGTAAGCTCTTTCAGCGCGGATCGCGAAGCTTTCGTTGAATTTTGCAAATCTAAAATTGGCCGTATTTGTTTCAGATATTCGGTTACAGCTGAACGAGCAGCTAAGATGCCTGGATGTCCGCATGGAACAGCAAGTCTCACTTCTCACGGAAATCCAGGATTTCTTCCGAAAAAGAGGCGAACTGGAATTGGACTATTCGAAAAATCTCGACAAGCTAGCGAAAACTTTGCTTCTCCGGCATAAGGAACAGAAACAAAAGTAAGTTCGTTAGTTTGTAACAGCCATGGGTACCATCATATAGTAAATCATAGCGTACATTTACATATTCTTTTATCGGTATTTATTACGCAATAAACAAGCTGAAGAACTTTATGTATTCTAATTAAAATTATATCTCGTAAATTTATTGACTGGTTACGGGTTCTTCTCGTTCGTTTTTGTGCTTAACAAAGAAGTGGTTTGGACACCTGAGGTTGTAATCAATCGATTTTCACGTGCTTGGAATAACCAGATATACCGCCTCTATTGAATTACGTACGGCGAAAGCGGTGACTTTTAGGGTCTAATGGCACATGGCTCATCGGACATTTCGATGACGTCATTTACTAAAATTAGGGAGTAACTACGAAGAGGGGGCGATTAAAAACGCTGAGGGGTGAGCTGCAGTATCGAAATTTCAGCGCTATAAATAGAAACGGGCGTTTTTACAACTCAATGTGAAGAACACATCGATTCGACGGTAATAATTCTTCTTCAGGAATTCGCTGCTACTGTCGACTAATTACGAATCGGTCACGATTCTTTGTAACGTGAAACTACCGACGGCCGATTTTAACTTTAAACAAACTAATAAACACTAAAATTAACTCCAGAAGAATTTCATCTCGCTTGTAAATCGAGCCGGTTCCTGTGCTACTCTATTTCGAATATTGATTACCTAGATGACGAGAACTTCCTTCTAAATTAGGCTTATTAAATGTAATAAAACATAAAAGAGAAAGTAGAACCGTTATGCCCCGTATCAGTTTCTATTATAATTGGAAAAACGTGGTAGGTATAATGAATTCAGCTTATCATTCGAAAAATTTGTCAAACACTCAATTATTATCTAGATATTGATAAAATTAGAATATAACGAATCAATACTGGAAATGTATATTTATTCTTGAGGCACTGTAGAAATCCAACGATTACAAAAAAATCTTTGAGAAAATCAACGTGAATGATTATAATCGTTTCTAAACAACTGCTTATTTCCCAATATTTCTTAATAGCGAATTAAATAATGGTAGAACAGCAAACTCATGAGACAATGATTAACCCAATTTTCCAGTTTCAGTCATTTATTTCCATTGTCTTAATGTTGCTGTGCGGTTTTCATATTTTGTCCTAAATTCGTTGAATTAGATTGAAGCCAAACCGTCGTGTAGTCGTGTTTTCGGTACGCACTACTTATTCGAGTCGAACACAATCATTTAACACTTGAATTGTAAAAAATGCTTCGTACATCGCGTAAGGAAATAGGAAAATATGGATCGATAAAATTAGCATTATATTCTCGTCCAATCGAATTTTTTACTCGCTCCCGGTAATTACATTCTGAACCGAAAAAAAGTAAAAACCAAAACTTGGAGTAACGAACTCTCGGAAATATTTTACGTAAGATGTGTTATTACATTTTGAACCAGAACTGGTTCTTTTTTTGTGTTCTTATAAATACGTATTTAATTATATGTTGTGTTGTTTATTATGTAAAAAACCATTTTTTACTGCACGCGTGCTTTTTCAAGGACATGCCTAAGTGAAAATAATATAGGTAATTTATGAAAAGAAAATTTTGCATTATACATGCAAGAGTAATGGTCATTGCTAATTGAAAGTCATTGACTTATGTGAGTACACAAATGTGTAAAAATCATACGGGAAATTACACTAGAGAGAAAACCTGCTGTAAGATCATTAACTGTATAATACGCCTTCGGTATGCGATGAGCAAATAATAAGTTCTAAATTTTTACATACTAAAATCGACAAATTAAACGCGTAATTAAGCTTTATTTCTGTTAATCTACAATAAGTTTTCTCGTTAATATCGGTCACGACAGTTAATAAGAATTAGAAAAAGAAATAAAAGTAATGTTATGCGCCAATCTGTGGGTTTGATGATAACTCTTTGATATCCACTTCCTGTTTGTGGCCTTTTTTTCCTCATACATGTCAAGATGATAATATAAATATAAGAATTTGTAATTAGTTGCAACTGTTACATTAGTTTGATAAAATCCTCTTTTAAATTGACAAAGTTTACTTATTAGCTTTAACAGATAGGCTCGAGTTTTGTTTTGTATAATATTAATAGACGGCAAACCATTTGCTTTGTAATTTTTATTCAACTGATACGAACTATTTGAACAATTAAATAATAATGATATTACTACGAATAACATTGTCAAACTGATTATTTTTTATAATTGGTTTGGACGCTTATATACATGTTGCTTGATAACTAACATAAATACGAGGGCGAATCAAATATGAACCGAAATTTTGCTTTAAAACATTTGGCGATAAATCGGGACTGTAGGGTAGTTGTTCTAGAGTATTTTCCAATGTATTTTGTCCAAGTTTTCCTGAATTAATGCAGCTGTGCGTGGCCGAACGTTGCCATGGAGCAAAATCGCACTTCGAATATGCTTGTACTCTCTTTTTCGTCGATAGTCGAGCTTCAATTCATCGAAAACTTGGCAGAGTACACTTTTAAATTCACGTCATTCATTGAGGAAATTTATGAGCTATATGCTCTCTGCAATCCCAAAAAATTGTTGCATGAACTGTCCCAGCAGAACGACGAATCTTGTCTTTTTGCATTCTTGCTCCTCCAGTTTTTCACATTTTTTTTTACCAATCGTAGACATGAATCCTTGAAAACATGTTTCCAGTGAACTGTGTATTTACTCGACTCTAAGTTTTGGCAAGTTTTACGCTCTCCCGCGATGAAAATTTAATATTAATCCGTTGCTCAACGGACCTGTGCACCTCTTGCTCAGACATGATGGTACTAACAGCCAATCGGCTCTAACAAGGCAAACTGATTTATCCACGGTTACTTTACATCCCCATGCAACATATATCAAGACGTCATATTACTCATCTTACATAGGGATCGTTTAAAAGAAAATTCCGGTTCATATTTGATTCGCCCTCGTATTATTGGTAAGCGCACAAAAATCATCGTTTATTGAATTCTACAAAATTTAACATTCAATCGATAACAGATTTAATTTTTAGATCGAAGAATCGCTCAATCATATCAACAGAAAATAGGGGTGTCGAGACCTTTAATAAATTAAAATCTAAACTGTATCACGTTTACTTGTGACAAGTAATCTATTTTATCGGGCTCCGTAGATACGAAAATATCGGATACAGTTTTATTACACTTAGTAATACGATAACTCCACTGACAGTTACTGTTTTATTAAATCATAAGGAATATGGTATCCAGTTTTATAGCGATAGTTCAAAAATTGTAACAACCTTTTCCCTAGGATTGATGGTGTTTTGAACAAACAATTTCAGCAATATTACATAGAATAATCTACTACGTTAGTTTTGAGTAATTTTTGCATGAATATTTCAAGTGAATCTATTTTAGTTAGGAAAAGGCTATGTAGGTGAAATAAGTATAAGTTTTCTACATTTTCCTCTTGGAATTTTGTACTTGAACTTGTACATCGAAAACATGTTTTTGGGAATGCGGTTATATTATAAAATTAATTATCTGTCTGCTCCCACAAAGTATTTCCGAGTAATTCCTTTTCGCTTTCAGAGGATTTTCTGTGATTTTCAAGCGCAAATATTTTCCAGAAATTTGCGGTATTTATCAGGGGTATTACGGTAGCTCCAATATGAGCAAAGAAGCGGCGATGAATATTTATGAAACTTAATGAATAAAATCCTTTAATTTCCGTAGCGTGAAATTCAATATTATATTTCAACCATGCCCACGAGCGACGTGAAAGAAAAACGACAAACGAATCGATATTATTTACAATTCGGTTATTTCATTTCATTTCAGGCGGGAACAATGGTCTTTATTTTCGAGCTACACATGCTGGCAGCAATTGGTCGCTCAAACGAAGAATTTGAGCAAAGATCACGCCGCCCTTTCGGAGGTGTATTCGAATCATTTGGTTAATCGACTTTCGCAAGTTATGGAAGATGTACAGCGAATTTACAAGCGAGTAAGTTGCAATTTATTTACACAAAATGCTCATTGTTCGGCGTGATGTGAAAAACGAGATTCAAATGCGAAATTCATAAATCATTCCATTTCGACGAAACAATTCAACGAGCCTGAAATTTGGAAAGTGTAATAAAAAAATCGTCGAGCCTTTTAAAGTTACTCCAGCACTTCTTGAACAATAGAAAATACATATAAGCCGAGATGATTTTTGACGTTATCTATCTACCTTTGTTTCTTATGAAAAGTATTACGTACGCAGAGGCGTATTTGAATACAAATTTCACACCGAGCAGTCATCTTGATATTACACCAAAATTAATGTAGTAATTTTATTATCTGAATTAAATGCATAAATTATAAAAGCGGCCTCTCACAAATTAATTTCTTTTCGTCGTTTCGTTAATATGTAAAATTTGTTTGCTACAATCCTGCGTTTTGAACTCCATCACTTTCACCATAAATTATTAATAAGTTTATTATTGCATTCAGCATATGCTACATTTACCATCACTAAATCAACAGTCGATCAATCAGTATAATTTTTTCTAAAATGATCGAATTTGATAATCGATAACTTTTTCTATTATCTCACGATAGTGTCGAGAAATTGGCTACGAAACGCACGAGGAAATCCTGCGAGTTTTACAGGAACTCCATACAACTATGAAAACATATCAGAGCTACCAGGCCGAACTTCGGCAAGCAGAAACTAAATTAAGAACTGCCGAACTTCAAAGGAGCAAGTTAGAGCAGACTTTCTCGCAGGATAAGTTGGAACGCTCCAAGAAATACAAGCTGATGGAGAAGGAAGTAACGAAGGTAAGTTTGCTTTGTTTTATTGCGCTCGCTACCTTCTTCGATTGTAAAATTGTATTGAAGAAAATAGTGCGCTAGTTTTTTTTTGTTAATTGCATGTGTAGGTTTCTTAAGAAATATTAATGGATTGTGTGGATTTTAATTTTGATATTCTACTTTTCAGAGGCGAAACAAGTACACCGATGTGAAACTCAAAACGCTTAAAGCAAAAAACGAATATTTATTGTGTTTGGAAGCTGCAAATACAACTATCCACAAGTATTTCATAGATGACTTATCTGATTTAATCGATGTAAGTTCTTGTTTTCTCGTTTGGCTCGTTTTATATTGTTTTGTTTTCCCGTTACCAGACCTAAATAATACATTCGTATACAAATGCCACTTGGTAAATTTATTTTTAGCCGAAATTAGCATATTTGGATGTTTTGCAACAACTTGGAAAGTCGGCGGATCGCTCGAATTAAAAGTAACATAAGAGAAATTCCTGTTATTGTTTATTTTCGACGAATTTACTATTGAATAACGAACGACTTATAAATATGAATGGCCATGAAATAAATACATTTCATATTTTGAAATTGCATTGATTGAATTACAATTAACACGGAGGTTTGGAATAAAATTACATTTGATACAAATAAACATTTGGCTTCGTGGGTTTTCATATAAATCTAAATGTCCTATAGTTCGATTTTTTGTTTAAAATAAAAAACACGTAGGTCGTTTCATTGAAAACAATGAAGAATAGTTTCATAATTCAACAGGAAATAAAACATCTACCTACTGCAGTACAAAAATACATTCATCCGCATGTACTTTTTTTTGCAGTGCATGGATTTTGGATTCCACAACTGCATTTCACGAGCTTTAATGATGCACATAACGGCGGAAGAAGGCAGACAGAAATCCGTTCATAACGATTTGGAATCGTTATCAACGTGCTTAAACTCGTTAGATTCCCGATTAGATAAGCAGAAATTTTTAGAATTTAACCATACGGCATTTATGATTCCCAAGAAATTGGAATTTCAACGACAGAAGACTGATGAAGTAAGCGATTCGCTGCGTCGCGCAATCTCTGATTTTAACGCGAGAATATTTCAGTCACCAGAGCCTGCGATTCAAAGCATACTGCACCAAGAGATGGACTGCAGACTCAGGCAACTCCAGCAAAGGGTGACCTCTCTTCGAGCGGAATCCGAGGAAGTGTGGAAGACATTGGAGACCGCCGAAAGCACGCTTTTAGAAATGCTAAGTGCCAAGGATTACGATTGCAGCAGTTATTTCGGCGAGAACTCGTTACCCGCCAACAAACCTCCGGAGACTGTGTCGATCAAACTGCGAGCAGATCGTCAAGAGACTGAAGAATTTTATCTCACCGTGAGTCTCCTTCTGGTAATTTACGTAGCGACCTTCAACGGTATTTTTTTTTTCAGAAATTCCGCGAATACCTCTTGGGTTCGACGAAAATAGCTCGATTGGAGGCGAAACAGGAATTCCTGAGGCAGTCTTTGCTCGCGGAAGGACCGGACGTTTACAACTCCATGAAACCCGTCGTCAAAACGCCGAAGCGGAAGAGAATCGGCAGGATGCAAATGAGCGGGCAGCCGAAATTATTCGGGGGCTCCATAGAAGAGTACCAAGAAGCTACCAATCAAGAGATACCGTTAATAATGCGGTCGTGCATTAGAGTCATTAACTTATACGGTAATATAGTCGCCATTGTAGGTTTACGTTTCTTTAAATAGTTTATTTTTAGGTTTACACCATCAGGGTATATTTCGAGTTTCTGGTTCTCAAGTTGAGATTAATAACTTTAGAGAATGGTTTGAAAGGGGAGAGGATCCTTTGGCGGACATGACGGACGCGTCTGATATTAACAGCGTCGCGGGAGTTCTAAAGTTGTACCTTAGGGAGTTGAGAGAGCCGCTGTTTCCTATTATTTATTTTGAACAGTTCATGGAGATTGCACGTAAGTACAACGATTGCACGCATTATAAGCCGAATCATCGGATACATTCAACTTGCAGAATTAGATTCTAAGAAGGATTTCATAGTAAGGATGAAGGAACTGATGCTGAGCCTGCCGCGCTCGGTTGTCGTGGTGCTAAGATATTTATTTGCTTTCTTGAACCATTTGTCGGAGTTCTCCGACGAGAATATGATGGATCCGTACAATTTGGCAATTTGCTTCGGGCCAACTCTAGTACCAGTGCCTGAAGATAAGGACCAAGTACAATACCAGAACCAAGTAAACGAGCTTATCAAGAACATTATTTTATTTAACGATGATATATTCCCCAACGACGGAGGCACTGTTTACGAAAAGTACATCTCGCCGAATTCCGAAGACCAGTAAGACTCTTTAATAATACCAAATGCATAAATTTAACTTGTTTTAAAATATTTTAGGGACGTCGGTGATTCGCCCGATCAAACACAGGAAGATATGGATTCCGAAGTGTACCCATCGGAAGATGATTCAGAGAATATAGAAGCAACTGCACAATTCGATTTTATAGCAAGATCTGATAGAGAGCTATCTTTGAAACGAGGCGATTCGATCACCCTGTATTCCCAAGTTTCAAATGACTGGTGGAGAGGAACGGTAAAAGGCCAAGAAGGACTTATCCCTGACAAATACATCTCGCTGAAAATAAAGTAAGCTGTCTTGTTTAACCTAATCGCCAAAAAATTTATTCCATTGCTTCTCTAGGGATGATGACAGGGATAAAATCGGATTAAAATCGAGTTCCTCCGAAGAATCGGTACAAAGAAGAACGCAAAGTTCGACAGATTCCATGCTATCCGATAATTACACGTCTGTTAGTAGTTCTACAAATTCGCCGAGTTTACCGTACGCACCAATAACATGGACTAAAGTGTCGGATTTAGCAGACAGTAACGAAAGTCCGGCAGTTTTGTTAAATCAGGCAAGAGAGGTATTAGAAACTACTGTTTGAGTGTTGTCTGTTGACGAGCTAGTAGGGTTATCGTCTAAATGAGGATGTTCCAAGCAATTACCGGAAAATCCTCTCGCTAGCTTTTGTAGTTGTCGAGTCAGCTCTGCAAATGCCGAACTTATCGTATATTTTTTCATTCAGTGCATGTCCCAGTGTAATTATTTTTTATTAGTATTATTTAGCATGTGCATGGATCGGTTTTCTTTTAAATGTGCTGTAAAAATATCTAGGATTTGCCATTCTTTTCATTCATAGGTGGCAGTTTCAATACAGGCATACAACGAATACTAATACACTTAAATATTCAATGAAATTGAGTAAAATTAGTATTGGTTTTATTGCTTGTATTCTGATTCTGTCTAAAATTTTCCTACATAATATCTCTGATTAATTACACTTTGCTTAAAAATTTCGATGTCTGTCAATAGCTTCAGTGTTGATGTATTTATATTAATTTATAATTATATGAAATATTTTGTCCTTTATAGTTCGACAGTGAGGAGTTTCCTAATTAGTAAAAGATTAATCCATCATTACTCTAAATTAGTGTAAGTAATATTCGAAGTGAAATCACAATAATTGAAATAAATGGAAAGTAAGCATACAAGGCTTTAAAACTATCACAAGCATATCTGTTATAATTAAGCTTATAATGTCGTTGCCCAATTTCTCAGATTGGCAAAGCTTACATATTTAGATGTTTCTCAAACATGTGCGAGTAGTAGATTTTACTAACAACAAACCAAAAGCAACAATTATCGATCAGAGAATGAAAACAAACAATAGGCGTTAATAAATGTATTCAATAATTTTATTTTTTTCTATATGTATTAATAGAGCATTCGTTAGTATTATATTTTGTAATGGATCTACTTAACTATAAGTGGTTTATTCTCTGATCTGTAGTTAATTTTATTTATCTCAGTGAGATGAAATTCAGTTATAAGTGTATTAAAAATATTTTCAGTACTGCAATGACTACGACAATAATTAATTTTTGTTAAAAGTTATTATTTTTACTTTTTAAAACATTTTTTACTCTATATATATCGTAATTCAGAAACTTTGTATATTTTCTAAATAAATTGTATGGTTCTACATATTAAGCCAGTTTTTTTTTTATTTTGTATTATTAGTTGTTGAACGCCATGCGCTTCTGGTAAGTTTGACTAATTCTTTAGCTACGCTTAATTTCGCTATTTTTGTTTAGGTGTTTTAATGTATGGTGTCTGTTTTGTGCTTGTTTGTACTAGTATTTTATTTGTTTTTGCAGGTAGGTTTTCGTTTTCCGTTATCCTTCTCTATAAAATAAACGGCACGTTATAGAAAACATTATGTTTACACCAAATTTTCTATTAATCGTGTCTTATTTTTGTGTTAATATAAGAAATTATTTGTATGTATAAGCATACATTGGATAGCATGCATGAATTATAGTATTACTAATAATACTTTAAAATATAAGTAATAAAATTGTCAATTTCTTACAAAGTTATTTAATTTATTCGAGTTCAAATTGTGCCGTAGTAAAATAGCATTATTTGTTACAGAGTGCAACAACTTCAAAATCACTTGAACTAATCCATGATGCTCCAATAGTAACAGAAACCGAAAAATCCCCTTTAATAGTTCACACGCACCAGGAAGAAGCTTCTGCACCACCCGAAACGCACAAAACGCCTACTCAAAGCGAAATAGACGAAAGTAACGTGAATTTCACAGAAAACCGCGAACTCTGGCAACGCCGCGCCATTTTGGATTCCACCATCCTGGCTTCTCCGGTTCTGAAGGCCCACAGATTGTCGGAGCCTCAGATACAAAGACACAGCCACACGCCTGATTTAGTAATGGACCTGCCCTTAGTGGGTACCGCTGCTAGCAAGGAGCAGCTCACCAAATCAGCCTCTACCCTGCCGCTGGTGGCAGCAGGGTTGGCCGAAACGCCGCCTGAAAAAGAGGTGAAGGCCATCGAAGGCCCGTCAGGAGCCGAGAGTCCTGACATGCAAACGGCCGCCGAGACGTTCGCCAAACAAAACCAATGTACACTGAAGAAGAACAAAAAGAACCATTTGTCGGATGCTGCGGAGCTGGTGGCCATAACCAGCCCCGTTCCCGATAGGAAATACGCTACATTGGAGCCCAATATGACTTTGACGTCGACGTTCAAACCGCAGGGCGATTCCAAGCCGTTGGTGCTCAAAAAACCTGTGTTTTCGATGCCACCGTTGAGGTCTGTCTCGATTGAAATGATGTGCAAAGACCCGCCCGATCTTCCAACGTAAATGCATAAGTATACAAGTATTTTGTATTATCATTTTCATGGATTAGTTCATGGAACTGTATTTTTCAATGCACGATTTTTGTGATTTCTTTAATGAGTGCTTTAACTACTGTATTGATATTACTTAAAGGGGGAGATGAGATTATTTTATTATCGACCTATGAATGTTTTTTATTCAGTTGAATTTGATAGGATTAAGTTTGAATTAACTTCTCAGGCTATTGCACAAATTTAAGCACAATTAAAACACTACGTTCGTTGTCTCAAATTTCATTTTTAGTGAGACAATACATACTTGAAAACTACGTTATATTTTTATTAAAATAAATCTATTATTAATTGGAAATATATAGGTAAATATCTCCCCGCATTAAATTAATCTTTAGGATAAGTTTAAATCGAATAACTAATTTGGATATATACTTATTGAAAAAGATGTATTTTTATTTTATGAAATGACTGGTTCTTAATGGTATTTTTCTATTTAACTAGCTACAATAAAAATTGTATCATGCAATTCAAAGCTGTAAACAAGGAAGGAGCTTATGGTAAAAAATAAAATAATAAATATTTAATGTGATTTCATGATAATATTAAAATGGTCGCATTTTCATCGATTGCCTGTTCTAGATTTAAAATGTTTTTAGGATTAGAAACTCAAATATGATATTAAATGATATAAAAGTGACCATTGCTGAAAATTGTTACAATGTCGTCTAAATTTAAAATGAAATATAATTGAATGGAAGATCACGCATTTTGAGTGATACTAAGAACCCCCGATGTGCAGAAAGATTAGTATATTTTTTATATTAGAGTTATTATACTTTTATTTTTAATATAACTATGAATCATCCAAACTTTTTTCGAAATCTTACAAAATTTAATGCTTACTCGTACGTTATTACATTGATAGTAATGATAATAATACAGAGTGATTCATTTATTTTTAATATTGTGACGACCAATTATAAATGTATTTCAATGTTATTTGCCAATTCTGTGTGTTGTATTACCTTATCTGTCCCAAGAAATATTTCCTATTCCTCAATTATGGTAATTGTATTGTAATGTTCGAGAGCTCGTTTGTTCAGTAAGTTAATGAAAGTAAAATTATAAATATATTACGCTTATGTAATAATAATTTTCCTAAAATGTAGTTCATAAAAACCTAATAGTACTTCACATAGTTTCGAAACTTTAACCAGCTGAACTAAAATTTAAATATAACCATTTCTATTCGCCCTATAAAAGTCTGTGTGTTTTTTATGGTTATTTTGTGATATGTTTACTCAATTGTTTCAACTTTTACCGTTTATATTTATAAATTTCAACGTGTACATGTAAATTTGTTTTATATATTTTTGTTTACTATTGAGATTATAATTCGTAGCTGATGTGATTATAAGTATATATACTCATATTATTATGTATGTAATGCAGGATGCTAATGATGGAACTGTTCATAAAAAAAGAAATTAACTATTAAATAAGACCATTCAACGCACTTTTAAATGAACTACAGTTACATTGGCATCCTGCGTGTTTGAAAATAATTGTTTAATTCGGAGCCTAATACCAATAATCAAATAAATAATCCAACGACCTACAATGTATTACCCAAATACATACAAATGTAACCATCACAATAAACTATTAAATAAAAATTTGTTTCATTTCCAAAATAATCAAAAATAAATTCCAAAACCCCATTATACTGAATATCATTGACCTTTTTAAAACCAAGTATAAATCATATGAAGTTATTTGAATATTTGCATTGTGGTATGAAAAGAACTACTAACCTGCAGTCATTGAATAAGGGGCCTGTTGATCCAATTCGAATCTGCATAACTAAAAAAAAAACAAAAATATTGTATATTATTTTGACACAATTGTGTTAGACTAATTAATTCTCTTATTCCCATTATTTTTAATTATTATATTCTCATATTTACATATTAGTAAGCAAATCCCACGACCAACTATATGGTTTCCCCTAATATAATCAAATTAACAAGTATGGAATTATTTACCTCCGAAATGATTGTCCTTCTATTTAGTACAGCAGAGTTAATCAGAAATTAATCACTATTTTATTCGATATTTGCTATTAATTAACTTTCTAAATAACCGGATTTTAAACATTTTAAACAATTCAAAGTGGAAATTTGAAATTCCGTTGACAAGTTGACACATGACAAATGACATTGTTGACTTTTATTTGCTGAATAATTATGTAGGAAAAGGCCGACATGTAATCGTTTAATATTTAGGAAGAAAAATGAATATAAGTAACAAAAAGATTATGATTGCTTATAATAATCGATTTGATGGTAATAATATTCGTAAATACGAAATTACGTGTGATAAAAATATGGTGTAGTGAATCCGTTTGTTTGTTTTATTCCAAACGAGCGCGTCAAAGCCGGATGATAGAGATGGAGGCATACGGTTCCTGCACAGACAAGAGAAGGATGGTTGTCGACCAGTTTTGTTCAAGGATAAGTCGAGTTGCTAACCATTTCTAACAAATAATTTTTTCATCCTTTTTTAATTCATAATAAATTTACAGTTTTCTCAGGTCCAGGTCAGTTGTTCTCGTACAATAATAAATATAAATGTTTCGGCTTTACGCAAATGGATTTGTTTTGAATAGCGTAAGCTAGAAGCTAGATAATACGAAGAATTTGAAATACCTAGTAAACGGAATATCTGTTTAAATGAACCACATTCGGCCGTCTTGAGGAAAAACCAGCGTTTTCGGCTATACTTTTCTTTGTGATTGTAATTATTGATTATAGTATCTTAGGAATAGGATTGACGTTTCTCAGAAAAATTTTAGGTAGGAGTTTCTGAAAAGATCGTAGGTACATATGTAAATTTTACCGAGAAACGTCAGTTCTATAAAAATGAGTAATTTCGTTATTCCATAAAATGAAGCGAAATACACCAGTGATTTGATTCAAAAACGGCCAGGCTCCAGAAAAATATTATGGTTATGTCATTATTGGAATGTATTGAGGTATGATTGCATTCATTCAATAGTTTTTTTTTATTATTTAATTGTTTAATTCTCCAACGAACGTTTTGTTGTTGTTGCTTTGGTATATCAAGTCTTATGTATTGCAAATTGAACTGTATTCTTTGTTTTAGAATTTATGCATACTAAATTTTCTCTTACGAATCTTTTAAGGCTGAGCAATGTCTGCAATAAATGCAAACGCACCCTCTTCAGCGGACGCCTGCCTCAGCATAGTACACAGTTTAATGTGCCACAGGCAGGGTGGTGAAAGTGAAGGTTTCGCTAAAAGAGCTATCGAATCGTTAGTGAAGAAACTTAAGGAAAAAAGAGACGAACTAGACTCTTTGATCACAGCAATAACCACAAGCGGGGCGCATCCCAGCAAATGTGTAACGATACAAAGAACACTCGACGGACGATTGCAAGTCGCCGGAAGGAAGGGTAATAATCTCCACTATTAACGTTTTTAATTTTAACTCGGTGAATTGCGATTACAGGTTTTCCTCATGTAATATACGCAAGAATATGGCGGTGGCCGGATTTGCATAAAAACGAACTGAAACACGTCAAATACTGCCAGTTCGCATTTGATTTGAAATGTGATTCGGTCTGCGTGAATCCGTATCACTACGAAAGGGTCGTATCTCCGGGTATAGACCTATCCGGTCTGACGTTGCAATCCGGAACACCGAGGCTCGTCAAGGATGAGTACACGGCCGGTGCTGTGGCTGGCAACAGCATGGAAATCGACGGTGATATGGGAATCAACGTGTCTCAGACTATTCAGCATCACCCGCCACAGCAAAATTTCACCCTCACCAATTTGCAACCTCCTCCGACAAGTGAGTGTGTTTCGATCTCTTCGAGTTCTTTTCAAACGATTAGTATAAGATTAAAGTTTGCGAGTTATTTTTAAATTTATCGAAATCTAGTTTTTGCATAATTTGGCATGCTAAATATTAATCTTCTACTATACTTCAAGTTTCTATTATTTTATTTATATATATCACCACGACATTTTTACTACGTCCTTACAGATTGTTTAAATTACGAAGTTAAATTTTAATTATTCGCCATCAAAAGTTTATTTTTACTATATTACTATCATTAGGAGACGATTAAGGTTGAACTTAACGAGTTGGCCTTTGCTGATTTGGTAAATTCTCTTGTTTAAATGAACTGTTAAGTGACAAATTCTGGGGTGATCGAAATCGTCTGTACAAAAGTAATTTTGTGCAAAATTTGCAAAATTGTCAGTAGTGATTTATGACCGAAATGCGATTTAATCGTTTCGCAAAGTAGTTAGAAATCGAGAATTTCCTTTGTTACATTTTTTATGGATAAGTCATTTAAATTGTTTTCATATAATAAGGTAGTTTTGTTTTTCATGTGTGATACTATGGTAGTTATTCTCTTTTTTTATTGCTAAGAACATTGCTAGCATTGTTTTTCTTCAGCCATGTCATGGTCGAAGAAGCGGAAATATTTGCGCTATTTAAAATAATTCTTTGCATAACACTTTTGTTATCTATAGGGGTTTGGATATTGTTCGTTTGGTAGTAAATTTGAATTAAAAAAAATCCCGTATCGACAAAAATATCTAAACTTTGCTTTTGTATCATCTTTATTTGCTTTACATATTTTAGTTAGGCATGTTTTGATGTTGTAATAGGTGATCCAGCAGTATATAATTCATCAAATAGGCCCAGTATGGGGTCATCAACAGTACCAAAAATTGAAAGTGGACCAGATACTTCCAGAACAAATTGGTTGCCTCATATGCAAATACATCGTAAGATAACTATTATGTTGGTCCATTTTAAAATAGATTTAAAACGTTGCATTACTCTAATTGTTTAATGCATGCAGTCTAATTTTAAAATGAACCGATTTATAACAAATAATTTCCACTCCTTCCAATTAATAGAATTATTATCAATTTTCTGGGTAGATGAATATTTACTTAAATTTGCTTCTTAGATTGATTTTGTTTATGAATCGTTGCTTTTGAGTAGTAGAGTTTAGTATTACAGTTTTTGTGTTGTTTACAGGTATTCATTAAAGGTAACATTAAATACAAATTAATTCAGTTCTTACATTTCACTACTAATTTTTAAAATAACACAATTTTTGTTTGGAAGGGGTACCATATATCCGAATCCTCAATTTACTCGTAAATCTTCTAGGCCAAAATCCAGTATACAACACACCTCAGGCGCAACCTGTGCAAGAAAGACCGCAAGAAGCCATACCGCAAAGTTTAGGTACGCACTTCCATAACATAAAACCACCCTTAAATGCAATGTACAATTTCTCGTTAGCGGCCAATTCTCCAGTTTCGCCACCTCTTCAACAAAACGGATTCAGCAATTCGAGCAGCACCGCCGTCGCGTCCAACAATAACGGAACAGTCTCAGGGACACAACCGACCAATACCATAGGACAAGCATTTACAGGCGCAGGCGGCACATGGACCGGTTCAAATACCTTGACCTACACGCAATCCATGCAACCGCCAGACAACAGAAACCATCACACCACCTACTGTAAGTAACCCAATCGCAACTGCACCGATACATCGTACTAACGAACGAATTCCTCGCATCCAGGGAACCACAATTCGCCGAACCAAATCAGCTCGGAAGTTAGCATAGCCGGCCTGCTATCTTCCCAGCCGGCGCCGGAATATTGGTGCTCGGTGGCCTACTTCGAGCTCGACACCCAAGTGGGCGAGACGTTCAAGGTGCCATCGAATTGCCCGAACGTCACCATCGACGGCTACGTGGACCCGTCGGGCGGCAACCGGTTCTGCTTGGGCGCCCTCAGCAACGTGCACAGGACCGAGCAGAGCGAGAGGGCGCGCTTGCACATCGGCAAGGGCGTGCAATTGGATCTCAGAGGCGAAGGGGACGTGTGGTTGAGGTGTTTGAGCGATCACTCGGTGTTCGTGCAGAGTTACTATTTGGACAGGGAGGCCGGCAGGCAACCGGGCGATGCCGTGCACAAGATTTATCCCGGTGCTTACATTAAGGTGGGTTGCGTGCGGTGGAGCGTTTGCGATATCGATCGATGCGGTTTCCTTTGCAGGTTTTTGACTTGCGACAGTGCCATCACCAGATGACGACTCAGGCGGCTACGGCTCAGGCTGCCGCAGCAGCGCAGGCAGCTGCTGTCGCTGGGCATATTCCAGGTCCTCATTCGGTCGGTGGAATAGCTCCGGCTATAAGTAAGTAACAGGTGTTTTCTACAGTAATAACGAGATGTAATTGTGTCATTATTACAGGCTTATCTGCGGCGACAGGTATAGGCGTCGATGATTTGCGCCGCTTGTGCATTTTAAGATTGAGTTTCGTGAAGGGCTGGGGACCGGATTATCCCCGGCAATCGATCAAAGAGACGCCCTGCTGGATAGAAGTCCACCTGCATAGAGCGCTGCAGCTGTTAGATGAAGTCTTACATACGATGCCAATAGATGGTCCTCGAGCAATAGAATAAAGTACAGATGGAGTAGGTTTGAATACCTCGCTCACAACCTGAAGAAACAATATATTTTCTTAAGGAGATCGCACTTCATTATTCATGCGTGTTTGTGTGTTCGAATGCATGTCTGCATGTGTACTAGTTGTACTCTAATTCAAAAGGCTGTTTCTTTAGATTTTTTTTAAGTGGGAGCCGCGATAGACCCTGCATCCTTATTTTAATAAAAAGTATTTTTTTAAGTTTATTTACAATTTACATGACGTGTTTGTGTATTGCTGTAATCCTCACTAGACAATATTGCTGTTGGATAAATAAATCAAAGGAATCAGGGATTTAAACCAGCTACTATTTTATAAAACAAATATGTTTCCACTGTTTGATCGAGTTCCAGATCGGAAACCCGAATGAAATTCATTTGACGATTCTAATGTTTTTGTTGTACTAAAAATTGTTTCTTTTTCTAAGCAATTTATGGAAAGAGATATGGAATGGTCATTTTAAATTTTGATTATTTTGTATATAATATGCTATATTATAAATGTAAAAAAAATAAAATGTAATTGTGTTTGTATAAAACACCAGAATTTGGAAAAAAGTTTATTACTATATTAAAAGTTCTTGATACACGTAATATCTAATAATAGATTCCCGTTATTTTTCAGGACAATGAAGTTAATAAAAGTTGTAATTTTTTATAAATTGTTGACAAAATTATTGTATATATGTTTTTAAGTAAAAAATAAGTAGAAGATAACACTTTCAGTATAACCGAAAGTAATTTTAAGACCGAACAAGTTACATGTTAAATATTATGGTCCAGATTTCAAGACTTTAAAGCTGTGGATTCAAATGGGGCCTATCCACAAAATTTGCTTGAATTATTAACGACCATATTCACCAATGTCAGTTTATACTTAACAGTCAAATAAAAGTAACGGAGGAAAAGCGAACTGATAAAAGAAGTAACAGACTGATAACTTTAATCCAAATGTCGAAATTGTCAAAGTTTTTACCACTATTTAACAGTGACTTATAAGTCTTATAACATTTTAATTTTATACCTAATATTATGGAGCAGTTAAATAGGATAGAGTTTCACGAATTGTTCAATTCGTCTTCCGAAAACAGTGATAGAAATTTTCCGAAATAAAATTTAAAACTAGGTTCAGATTGAAGAAAGATTCGGTTAGATGGAATAACCGCTGGAATACGGTTATTATAGTTAAAGTTATTACTAATTTAGTAATTTGTGGTTGAGTTCCAAATATCGTGGTGAATAACAAATATTGATAACCGACTGTTAAATCTTATCAGGTTGATAAGCCGAAATTGGTGAATATGGGTGTAAGACACCAATATTTTTTATTTTCGTGTCAGAAGAAATGCTTTGTGAGTATTATGCATCACTTGGAAGTTTTAATGGAGTGGAAAGCCCCCGTTTATAGCTCACATTTCATTTCCGACACAATCAAATGGAGAAAATAGACAAAAACCAACCACATTTTTTGACAACATTGCTCACGAGTTTTCATTATTCTCAGTTTATTTTTATATATTTTTTAGATGCATGATATTTATATTCTGTAATTTTCAAGTATTTTTAAGAGAGAAAAAGTGTGATATTAAAACTACTATTCTTAAATGTACTTTTATTTTACCCTGCATCATCGTCGCATGAGAGGAGAAATTAAACGTTTCTGGTATGTACATATACATATTTTATTAAGTATACTTTTTACAAATATAAGTAATTGTCATACTAAACATTAATTTTACAGATTAGTATAATAGGGGTATTCATAAATCCACAGTTTTTTTCACTGCATGTTGGGATTTTAAACAATCTCATAATCATGAATACTCCTTATATAAACAAACGCCCACGCTGTTATTTTCTGTAAATCGTTCGTTAATTTCTTCGTTAGTTTTAAGAATGCAAGACTTATTACACAATGAACTGTAAAATGGAGCGAATGTCGGTAACCTTTTATATAAAAATATGAAATATTCCGCTTTGTACCATTTTAAATTAATAAATAAGAAAATAAAAATGATACATTTAAAAGTTAAGTGTCTTAACAATAAATGTGCATTAAATACTTTCTTCCACCGTAACCCTATATGCTTACAATATATTCACGACTTGAACTTGTGGTCTTTCTATGGCTGCATATATCATTGAAAATAATAGTAAATTACAGTTAACGATAAAAGAGTTAATAAATATGAGAATGTGGGAATTTTTTCAGATACCTACAACACAATAGGAAGATTTATTTAGATTAAGACTAGTCAAGTTGCAGAGATGAATAGAATTTTCTAATTTTAGTAGATATCGCATACAAGGAAATAATATTAAAAAGATTACTTAAGTATTTATATTTAAAATAATTAAATATAAATTAATTATAAAAAAATCGATAATAGGCTAAACATTCCCTATAGGAACTTATTAAATGATTTTTGCCTAAACGAACATTCTTATAAGTACACAAGTAAAAATTATTAAATAAGTTGTATTTATATACAGAAGTAATTAATCATACCTAAACATTTGCAGCTTGCAAAACATTCCAGTTATGAAATTAGCCATCGCCAACTTATATTTATTAGATTATAATTTTTTAACAGAATATAATTGTTTTTTTACAACACTTGCATTTTATTGTAAAAAAAACTGATGTATATAAATTAAAAATGTAGAACAAATAGTATATAGAAAACATTACAAAACATTTTATAGAACATTAAAAATCTAAATACATTAACGCAGAAAAATCTGTAAATACAAACTGTATATCTCTTTACACATTTATTTTTTAACTGGATATGCTATTGAATTTTTAAAAAGTGATACTTACATTTAAGTAGATATATGTTCAGCATAAATCCAATTAAAAAACTTGGTAAAATGTAAATTTAAAAATTATGTTAAATCGAAATCCAAAATTTGATAAATCAATGAACGTTTTTAAATACTATTCCATATTTAAAACTATTTCATGTTTAATTTCGACCTAAGTTTATTATTTTGCAACTAAAAAATGTCAATTAACAATTACAATTGTTCAAGACATTTCTTACGAAAATTTTGCAATTGTGAAGAACCTTCAAGTAGAATAAATACGTACATACAATTAACAATAAATAAGACAAACATTATTTACTGGGGTTTGTTGTAAAATACAGGTAAATGTATCACATAACTTTTAGCATACTAAAAACAATTAACATGATTGGTGTTTATAATCATATGTGCTAAATCTCTATATTTATAGAAAATTGCTTCTAATGGAGCAAATTTATATTTAAACGTATGATATGTACATCCGATATAACAGCTAAAAACAGGAATTTATTATTAAAAATCTTTAGATTCCCCAGAAAAAAAAAACAGTAGTAAGCCTGTCATAAAAATGCCAAAAACCATACACTACAATAAAGTTGTTGCAAAAAACATATTGTCGTTTTTTGATAAAGATTTGCCCCAATTCAACTTACAACACATTTAATTATAAGCACCTTGCTGTATAAATCTATATTATTGACAAAATATATTTACTTAGCATATGTACAATAAAAATTTTGCAAGTAATTGCGAACAGAAGCATTTACAAAATATTCATTGGCCATCAAATGACAAGATAAGACTTTTAAGTATACCGAAATTATAGCCTCTTCAAATAAAAGCGGGATATTAAGTATTTAATTGGCTGCAAACACAATTGATCGTATGTAAAGAGGTCCCATCATGTAATGGCCAATGATTTAAATGTCTAACATCTTATAACCTCAGACTATATTTATTACTATGATCATTAACAAACAGCGCAATTCGATTTTTCGTTTACATTTCCATCTGCCTTTTCTATTTCCGTCAACAAAACGTGAAATATATCTGACACCGACTGAAAACAAATTTCGCATTTTTAGGTACAAGCATAGGAAAGAAGCAATTCAATCTGTTCCCACAGAACGATATTTAGTGAGGGAATTTTAAAAACAAATCTGGAGGGGTAGGAAGATGTTAATCAATAAAAATATAGGTGTATTTCCATTTTTACGCACTCAAATTATATATGCTCAATCCCTGTCAACGATTTGAAGTATTTGTAAACAACAGTAACCCAATCCACTTAAAATCTCCAATTCCTAATGCCCTTATATTCTCAGTGTAACCCGATCCTGTTATCATTGCAAATATTATCCGACTAATATCCTGCCCTCTTCAAATGGGTGATAAAATAGAAATATGCTTAATACGTACCGCATTTTGTTTCGCTGAAGTTTCTAGAAATATTGCTCTCCATTCTTCGGCTAATCTCCTGCCTTCTTCCGTGCTTATTGTCCTCTCTAAATGCAAGTCTGTTTTATTGCCTACTAATACGACAGGTACACTAAAAAAACACGAAAAACATTACAAACAGTTAGATCGAAGTAATTAACTGAAACGTACTGTTCTTTCCCAGTAATATCTAATAATTTTTCGTAAATGGATTTTACTACATCGAAAGATTTCGTACTGGTTATGCTGTATACCAATACGTATCCATGCACGTCTATACTGTATTGTGATGGAAATATCGAGTACTCGTCTTGACCAGCTGTATCTACTAATTTCAGTTCGTAATCTTGGGAGTTTATTCTCGTGGATTTAGTAAAAGCTGAAATATTGAAGTTTAAATAGCATGGGAATATGCATTATTCACAATACTCACTGTTTTCGATAGTTGGATCATATGAGTCTACGAATTGACCTTCTACGAACTGTATACTCAGCGATGATTTTCCTATAAATTAACAGCATTCATAACAAACTGGAACTACATTGGATATTAGAAACACTTACCAACTGACCTGTACCCCATCACAGCTATTTTCCTTTGTTTGGAAGGCATCTTAATTAATATTATAATCTCTACAATATCACAGATATCAGAAGAAACGTCTTAATTATTGTAAACATAAAATGTTATAAAGATCTATGGGCAGGACAGTAAATCCAATGCAGCATTAAAGGTACAAAAAGCAATCGAACTTAATTTCAATTGAAAAGATTTCGATCGAAAAATTATTTCTTCATTATACAATTAATGTGAGGAAATTTTCGATACTACGAATTCTTTAAAATTATTTCGCTAAGGATTTAACCAAAGTCCAAGGTTACTTTACAACATAAACACTGAACTGACTGAACAAAACTCAAACGTCAAAATTTGTGCATGTGTAATGATGAAATAGCTCTATTTTCGATTATTGCGCATTATCTTGTTTAATACTTACACTTAACCATATGTTCACACGATAATTTAGCTAACTCACCTTTTTTTACTAATGTGTTAAAAAAGAATAAGCTATATCATAAAACAGGAAATACGTGACTGAAACCTAATACAAAACAAACCGAACAAGGAATAGAACACGAAATAGGTCGGTTTTCGTATGACATGTGTCATATGTCATGTCTAACTATAGAAAATATTCCAAATATTTACAGTGTAGTTTATTTCAAAAAGAAAATAAAATTGTGGAAATACTTTTTATTTTAATTGCTTTTGAAAAGTATATCTAAAAACAGTATTTTTCTTTTCTAAAAAGTAGTATGTCTAATAAAATACGCTAAATATCTATTTTGGTATTTGTTGACAAGTGGCAGTTGGCAGATGCCAAAAAAGTGACATGACAAATATTACGAAAAATTTGTACAGTACATAAAAGAAAAAGACTGATCAAAAAGCTAAAAAAGCAACGTTTAGAATGAAATTCATTGCTTTTTTTGATGGAATGTAATGAGTCAATTTTTGATATTAATTTATTATCCGTACTGATACCGATAGAGCTTTAATAACAGTAGTCATGAGCCGCCACGAAGGTAAGAGCATTCAATCCAATAACCCTTGATCAAAATGAAATAACCGATCAATTACAGGTGTAAGCTGCGATTCTTGTTTGAAGGGTAATTTTAGGGGACGTAGATATAAATGCCTTATTTGTTACGATTACGATTTATGTGCTACATGCTACGAAGCAGGGGCCACTAATACTAGGCACACTACCGACCATCCCATGCAGTGTATACTTACTAGATCTGATTTCGGTAAATATCCAAACATCTTCTAGCTTTTATTTGTCCTCAAGTTTCATTAATTTTATTTAATTCCCTTAATTTTTAGAGTTATATTACGGTGGAGAGGCTATAAATAGTTTAGAATTGCCCCAGTCTTACACCTGCCCCTATTGTTCTCGTATGGGATTTACTGACGTTACGCTGCAGGATCACGTTACTTCCGATCATCAAGACACAAATTTTGAAGTAGTAAGTGCACGATTCTTAATAGCCCATGAATTTCCTGTACGAGTCTGTTGTGAACAACGAGGTATTCAAAATGTACTGTTATAGGTTTGTCCGTTGTGCGCTGCGATGCCGGGAGGCGATCCGAACTTGATGACTGATGATTTTGCGGGTCACTTAACATTAGAACACCGAACGGGGCCTAGAGATTTAATCCCCTTTCTCGATGAACCGGTGGGGACGAGGCACAGTGTGAGACGCATGCCTCACAATACCCACAGTGCTACCCATATTGGTCGAGGGGGCGCCACTGCTTTGAGACCCCGAAGGAGTAATATGCATTTTAGGTAAGCCAAATAATTTTATTTCTGGTGTATTCGTTATAAATTGAGCAGGAATTACGTACGATAGGTTTCTGTTAAGAAATTACTAACGGAACATTGAGTAATTTGAAAAAAATCTTTGCAAAACACCTTGTATTTTCAATCAGTTAACAGCAGTGAATATTTAATTATGTAGGAACTACTATTTATTTTTAGTTGTTTTTTTTTTAGATGTATTTGTTTAAATATTCCCTATCTGACACTGACTTCGATAAAATTCTAATCAATGAGGCAATCTCAACATTTCTTTCGATTATATATCCTTGTAATACAAGTATTTCGGTGATTTTTTGCAGAGATGTAAAAGTACCAAAAAGAATATTGTTGCATAAAGATATTTGCTTTAGTGTTTTTAGTTCTGGGGGGTTTTCATCCCTATCTCCTTCTTCAAGGGACTCCGTAGATCCAATTGCCGAACTTCTGTCGCAACTCTCAGGTAAGTTACTAAACTGGACGAACTCCGCGTCATCCTTACATTTAGGTTTTTGGCTAATGGTAAATAAAACATTGATATTATTCAGCACTCACACGCACGATTTGCGAACCTAATTTCCTACGATTTTTGTTAGCATGTATGCAATTAAATTATTTCTCAACTGCTTCCGAACTTGTATTGTCGATTATTGAATTAAAATTAGTGATTTTTTTTAAAGGAGCAATTGAGAAATCAACATTGTTTTTGTCATTTTTCATTTGAATATGCTTGAAGTCTAATTACATTAATACCATAAAAATTTTGCTCCTTTCTTGATAAGCTTTTCTAACTAAAACTACGATATTAGTGATAGTCCCTTAAAATTTGTAGTTTTTTACTTGGTACCTGTGATGTTTGTCACCTTTAAAAATTTAGCTTTAAATTTTAATAATCCTTCTATGGAGTGAGAACATAAGTTTCTTCTTGCACTTCAAGCTTAAGTTATTGTATTTGAATCCATGTAAGCTCGACTTTATTTGTTCACATTGCAACGGACGATACGCTGAGTTCCCTAACCATTGAACTTACTGTAATTTGGAAACCGAAATAAAATGTGGTCAAATATTGCGAGATAAAATAATTGAAATGTACGTTATTAAATTCCTGCGACACGATCAAATCTCGATTTGAGCTAATATTCGATTTTTGTAGATATATTCTATGAGTCGGAGGAACCTCACTTCACAGAGGATTCTGCCTTCTTGCTTAATCATGGCAGTAAGTTACATATACTGGAGGAGGTATTAAAATATTGCAAAAATATAAGGGTCGGAGGGTTCTCCAATCGTTCTATTCTGTTCATATCATTTTAGAACATTGGAGATCCCTGTCTTATGTTCTCAGCGTATTTGAATTCCTCGCTCCTCGTAATTGTCGTAAATTTGTTGGCATGAGGAATGAGAGCCCGCTGCTACATCTATGCTCTCGTTTCAACCTCCTTATTTCCAGCTTATTTCTTTTGTGTCTGAGAACTCTTTCAGTATTTTAAATCTGACATTTGCTCGAATAACGATCAAACCGCATAATACAAGCTGTGTAGCATTCTCGCGCTCCCCGCCCAAGCTGACGCAGCCCCGTTTTTCTTTTTCTTTAAAGGCGTCCGGCGCTCCGCCAGCAACACGAACAGCAGCACCCCGACGCAGCTGCAACAGCTGCAGATGCAGCTGCAGCTGGAGCGGCAGCAGGTGAACGCGGCCCGGCAGCAGCTCGACCGCTATCCGCGCAGGCAGACGCAGAGCCAGACGCTGCGGGAGCCCAACACGTCCAACTGCGGCACGTCCACCATGATGCTCAACGCCTCGCCGGTGCTGGTCCAGCCGGCGGCCAATTCGCCCGTCGCGCCGGCGCACCACTCCCAATTTTTGCTTACAGGTAAACGACCTTGCAACTTCTCCAGGCACACCTGGCGCTTTTTTCTTGTGTTTTAACGGATCGTCGGTTTCAGGGTTGCTGGAAGAGCTGTCGCTCCAATCGGCGACCGATCAGGTAAGGCAGGAGCGCAGCCGGTTCGTGCAGGAGCTGGTGGTGGCGTCGGCGGAGCACGTGCGCGGCCCGGACGGCGAGGGCGACAGGGACGCGCCGGCGCAGCAGTCGCGCCTCAAGTCATTGTTAAAGTTAGTCGAATCTAGTCCGCGGGATTTGCTGTCGTCGGAGGAGGATTGCGCGTCGAGGCCGGCGCCGGCGGCGGCTCCGCGGCAAAGCGGCGCCGTGTTGCGGGGACGCGCCAGGAGCGACGCGCAGAACGCGAAGCGCCGGGCCGAGGCGAACCGCGCCGGCCAGGAGCACAAGCCGAGGGGCGACGGCGATCCGGATTTTCATAGATAGTTTGTTTGGTTTACCTACATTGTCAGTTCGCTTGTTAGACTAGTAAATTACGTTTCTTATGTGTATGTTTCAGCGAGGCTCTCGGTCGTTGGCTAATGAAATTGACTGATGAAAGATACGATGCATACATTCCTCGAATTTGCAAATGGTGGCTTTTCTGCGAAAGCTTCATGTTTACATATATTTTTTTTTTGAACGGTTCGTGTTTTTAGAAATAAGGCTATACCACTTCAATAGCAGTATCGAATATTTGTAATATTTACTATGAAACATGCGAACGCACAAGATGTTTTTGTTCTTTCGCTGACCGAACTATCAATTTTTTTTGGATGTGAGCCTATTTTTAAAAATCAAAGCGAACGAATTTTTCCCTGAAATTAGAAATTTAAAAAAAGGCTCGTGCTGTAATAAATCTTGAAATTGTAAATACGCATTTTATATAATATGTTAGGTGCACTCAGGACATCGAGTATTAGCACGGTAAACTCAGGATCATGAGTATCCTTGATACCTACTTTTTACTATTACTATCTATCGAGTAAGATTTAAATTTAATTTAATTCTGCGGATCCCGTCATCATCAGCATTTGGTGCAACAGTTCCTTAACCTTCCTTTCCAGTTTTTTTTGTAATTGACTCAATCATGTCCGTATCATGGGATTGAATTATTGAAATATTTCAAATTAATTAAATTAACTGATTTTCGATTGCATTGATAACATAATTTCAGTCTAAACAAGTGAACTATTATATTGTTACAGTTACATCTATTATATTGACAATTATATTATTTTATTTATGTTATTGTGTTCCTAGTTTTCTGATTTTTCCAGTTATCAGTTTTTTTATGAATTTCTATTTTCTCATTCGTTTGATTTGATTCATTTGTTTCCGGGATAGTACACCAATTGGTGGTAGGTGGCTGGTGTACTGCATAGGAAATTGTAATTTGTGTATCAATCCAATAAATTTAGCACACATTTATTTCAAGGTTTTTTATTTAATCCTAAGAGTTACAGAATTCTTTTATTAAATTCTTCATGAAGCTCCTATCCTTGTCCATGCTCCTTTACTATTAAATTTTCACCTGCTGAGGAAGTTTCCATCTAACGGGGAAATTATGAAGTTCGTTTAATTTATTTTGATGAAGTTTATAATTATTTTAGCCACCTGTTCGTTGGATGCTTAAACGGAAATGCGTTTTGATAGAATATTATTAGGTGTAACTTAAGCATGGATAATTCTATGGTAGGTGGCTCTCTTAACTCGAAATTTTCTATAAAAATTGAAAATTTAAAATATACTCAGTTTGTATTAAAGTTATAAGTTTTTCAGTAGATTTTTTTTACTTAGAGAATTTCCCTCCAACCGATTTCTATCTCTAGTCGTAGGTGTGTTCTCACCAAATAAGTTCCATCTGATAATATAAATAAATCATGTAGAGATATACATAGAAAAAATATTTATGGTATAAGATTCTACGATTCTTAAACTACATTTCTATTTACATAAGTTTTTGTAAACCGTCCTCATAGAAAGTTGCTGTATGTGTTTTCAAATCTCAGCGGTTTTCAACTATAGTTGAAGTGCAGATCAAGAAACATCGTAAGTTTACATTTCATGATCTTCCTGTTGAATTTCTTCAAATCCTTCAATCACCGATTCGTGAAATTATAACTGAAAAAATTTATTTCGAAACTTGTGTGTTGAAAACACAGGAAAGGTCCTATGAGGACATCACATAAAAACATTATGTGACGCTTTGAAAAATATCAGGAGAATTTCGAGACATACAGGGTGTTCCTAAACATCGTGTATATCCGAAAGGAGGTGATTCCTTGGCTTATTTTATGACTAAAAGTTCATAAAAACGTGAGTCCGCAAACGCTTCGTTACCGCTCTACAAGGTGTTTAAATTTCAAGATTTTTTTGTTTCTTTTTTAGAGCTCCTGCAGTTTTTGAGATATTTAGCTCAAATTAGGTATAGGATATAGAGTATAATTTGAGTAGGAGGGGGTCACTTTCAACATTTGTTATAATGTAGATTAATAATTATTATTTAGGGTTTTTGTTTTGTAAAATAAATCATTTCTTTTAGAAAATCGTTTTTAATTTTTTTCTCGATAACGGTCACAGAAACGAAAAAAGTTTAAGAATAAAAGAGTTTCTAAACAAAACACACAATTCATTTTGTATTTTAGAACCTGCCTGCGGCGCACAGCAAAAAAGTTTGGAGGGAAAAAGGGGTACACTTACCCAATAATATGTGCCCTATAAATCAATATAGATTCAAAATTTGAGCTAAATATTTCAAAAACTGCAAGTTTATATGAACTTTTAGTCATAAATTAGCCAAGGAATCGCCCCTTTTGGATGTACACGATGTTTAGGAACACCCTGTATATGTAGAAATAGTAGAAGTTTGTAAAATAAATCTGTGCGTGCTTTTTTTAATTACCAAACGAAACATACTTTCTGGAAACACCTGGTATTTATTAATTAGAGCAATTTGAAGATAGGTGATCTCTGGTCTCTTCACAGATGAATTATCTGGTGAAAAAATAATTTATTATTGAGAAAAAACGCTCCGGTTAGAGCGAAAATTGAGCTGTCAGATGCAGAACTATAGAAATTCTATTTCTGGTTAGGGGCACTTTCTCAAGGTGCTATTGGCAGATTGCGACACCAGAAAAGTCAGTTACATATTTCAATCCGTTTCAGGAGTGGATTTTAACAATTTACAATTTTCCAATTATTTTTTTAAATCGACTTTCGCACAAACAAATTACGCTAAACGAGCAAATTTCAATCAACGCTGTACCAGCAGGAAAACACTTTTTTGCTCGGAAAATTTTACATTGAAAATATTGTAAGTTAAATTAATAAATAGAAATAAAAAAAATATGTAAATGAAGTAAACGACATTTCAAACGTTAGATAATTTAATTAATTTGTTATATTGAATTTTCAAGCTGGTTAAATAATTCAAAATACGTTTCTGCGAGCACAAATCTTACCCAATCGTCTGCTCTTGACAATGAGGTGTTCTAATGGAGTATTTAAGCCCAACGAACTTCTTTATTAATCATTAGATCTAACGAAGTGTCGGCAGTGTGATTTAGGAGCATGTAAGTCTGAATTGGGTGAATCTCAAAATTTGCTGTAATTGGTGCCAGTAGTGGTGATTGATCATCAAAATAACTAGGTAAAATGGGAACAATTGGTTGTATAATGAAACTGATGTATTTATTAATTTAAAATATATACACAGTTTGGTTGTCTCACTGATTGTTAGACTCATTATCAACTTATCGTACGCCTCAAGATCATGTTAAACTTATAATATTTGTTAATTTAAAATGTAGTTTATATTTGCAGTTGGAAAAAGTCTTTAGCCGTTCATCTCTGAAGGAAACGTGAAAGTCCTTTGATCATTCCAGGGGCACCGATATAAAGATTTGTGGAGGAGTTCACATTTTCCTGACTTCAGTAGAAACATCCCAGTTTTCTTGTAGATATGAAGGTGGCTTGAGTTTTTCTGAAAATAAAAAAAAATCATTAAAATAAATTAGAAAAGTGTATTTTTGGTAGGTATTAAATTGGGAAGATTTAAGCTCAATTATTTAAGTATGTGTTTGCATTTGCGGTAAGTTTTTCAAATTTATTTTTGTTATAGTTAAGCGTTTGAAACTTTTTAAAATAATTTTTAAGTTAATATACAGTAATTGGCCTACTAATATTTACTGATTTAAATAATGTTACCAACTTTGCTGCTAAGTAAAGTTCTAACTTTACTAACTTTACTGTTCTACTTTACTCTTCTAAGTAAAGTAATTATGAGTTTTAATTACATAGCTACTTCTTGCGTTTATTTTAAATTTTCCTAATATTTGACGAAATTAAGCGAATTTTTAGTTCAAAATTCTAAATTTGGTAAAATTTTAATTTTACTACAGTTTATTCATGTGTAGTTGTTTCTTACATTCATTCTTTTCTTTTTTTGTATGATTCAAAATTCAAAAATATGCGCTCTTTTAATATTCAGAAACATCTAAGAGTATGAATTACTTTAATTTTAGCTTTCCATAGTTTATTTCTGAGTATAAATTATTTCTTTCATACTTTTATTTTTAAATTCTTGTTTATTTTTATACTCAGAATATTCTTAAAACGTTTGGATTAGTTTAATTTTAGTTTTGCCATAATTTATTTCTAAGTATTAATTATTTATTTTTTACCTTCAGGTATTTTTAATTACTTGTTAATTTTTATAGTTCAAAATTCATAATTTCGCACTTCTTCAAAAGTTTTAATTAGTAATTCAATAGTTCTTTCTTACATTTATTTTTAATTTCTTGTTAATTTTTATTCAATTTTAGATTAAAATTCAAAACTCTGCGCTCCTATAATAGTCAGAAACTTCTTTAATTGTTTGGATTAGTTTAATTTTTAGTTTTGCCACAATTTATTTCTGATATATTAATTTTTATAGTTTAAATTCATACTTTCGCGCTCTTTTAATACATAGAACCATCTTCAAAAGTTTGAATATAGTTTAATTTTAGTTTGCCACAGTTTGTTTTTGAGTAGGAATTAATACTTAATAAATACTTACAATTATTTTTAATTTCTTTAAATCGTTTTTCTTTGAATTAGTTTATTTTAGTTTTGCCACAGATTATTTCTGAGTAGGTATTAACTATTTCTTCCTTACATTTATTTTTAATTTCTTGTTAATTTCTAGTTTAAAATTTAAAATTTTGGACTCTTTTAATACGAGAACCTTCTTCAAAAGTTTGGATTAGTTTAATTTTTGTTTTGCCGCAATTTATTTCTGAGTATTAATTAGTTCTTCAAATTCTTCTTTCGGTTTTCCATTAAACGAAAAAAACAGAAACAAAACCTAAACTCATGTTGAAGATATCAAAACTGAAACTTTTTGCAAACTTTTTGAAGACTGTTTGAATTTTTCGACAGTTTGAGTTTTGTTTTTCGAGTCCCGTTCGAAAGCGGTGTTGTATACAACCAGTGGAAAAGACCAAAACAAAAACAGAACAAGAACAAAACCTAGTCAGCTTTGTCGAAATAGGAGTTTTAGGTTTGTTTCAGTTTTGTTTTTGTTCTCCAGGTTCTAGAAAACTAAAACAAAACACATTTTTACGTCCGTCTTTACATTTATTTTTAATTTCTTATTAATTTTTATTCTCCTAGTTCAAAATTTAAAATGTGCGCTCTTTTAAAATTAAGCAACTTCTTTTCAAAATTCAAAATTTCGAAATCGTTTAATATTCAGAATCTTTTTAAAAAAATTGAATGGATCTAATTTTTTTGCTACAGTTAATTGGTTAATCATTTATTCAGAATTATATTTGCTAATTTTTACAGTACAAAATTCAAAATTTTGCGCTCTAAAAATTGAGAAACTTCTTTAAAAGTTTTGGATTAGTTAACTTAATTTGAAACAGTTTATTTCTGAATATTAATTAGATATTTGTTACATTTCTTGTTAACTTTTTTATAGTCCAAAACTCAAAATTCAAAATTTCGAAATCTTTTAAGATTCAGAATCTTCTTAAAAAGTTTGAATTGATCTAATTTTATTTTTACTACAGTTAATTGGTTAATTTTTACATTTATTTTGAATTATATTTGCTTATTTTTACAGTTCAAAATTCAAAATGTCGCGCTCTTTTAAGATTCAGAAACTTCATTAAAAGTTTGAATTTTAGTTTCGCCACAGTTCATTTATGTGTCTTAATTATTTCTTTCGTTCATTCATTGCTAATTATCCTAATATTTAACGAAACAAGCGAATTTTTAGTCCGAAAATTCAAACTTTCGCACTCTTTTAAAACTCTTTAAACTTCTTTAAAAGTTTATGTTTGGGTTTGCTAACACTCATTTACGAATTAGTAGTTCAATTAGTTCACACTTTTACGTTAATTTTGTATATATTTCACTAAAAA